AATGCCAGAGAATTACAGACTGTGGATTTCTGCTCTTTGAGCAATATTAAGTGTAAATGTGAAAAGGTAGATCTCTCAGCATAACCTCACAGTCCTACAGACTGTCAATAAATAGCTGCTAGTCCCAGGTACCTAGTTGGCATGAAAAGATGGGCAAGAAGGGTCCAGATCTCTGGGGAGCTCTCAGAGGGCTTTCTTCTGGCTCCACTGCCAAGAACGAACTGGAACGTCGTACCAAGACCCGATGCTGAAGTGTTTCAGGTGTGAACCCCGTGTTCTCTGCTGTGTGTGCAGCTCCTCCTGCTTCAGGGCCAGGAGGGACCGGGGTTATTGCAGAGCTCGTGGTATGTGATGAGAGGGGGCTCAGGTTTGTGGGGGCGGTGCTGTTGCTGGGGGTCATTCCTGCAGCTGCTGGCTGACAGGGCGCCTTTTCTGATCAGCATCCACAGTAATCAATAACCATCTTTCATCAGCAGTTAACCATTAACTCATGGCAAATAGCAGACCTTTTTCATAACCTTTGGTTACAAATAAATAAACAGATGTAACAGCCTTGGATAAGGCAACAAATTTTCCGAAATTCCCATTTCCTGTGTCAGAGCTCAGCTGGCCCAAGGACCAGCAATGAATGGATGGATCTGGCTGGCAGCTAGTTTATGTTACAGGTTTAGCTTGGGACATTGGTATCTGATAATATTAAAGCTATAGTTCCTGCTTCACTGAAACACTCAAATCAAGTTTAAGATTTTTAAAAGAATATTAATAGATTTATTGGTTTTTAAAATTTTAGTTTCACTTGACAAATATGCTCATGGTCCAAAATGGCAACATTGTGCCAGGATGTTGTGCTAGTTGAATGAAAGGCTAATCCCTCTTCATGAGTTGAAATGAGGGAGTCAAAGGTATAAACACCAAGAAACCCATGATTTAATGAAAGGTGTTTCCATTTCGATATTTGAATTAGTAGCATAGGAAGATTATTTTCTTCAAATACAATTAAAAAAAAATAAATTACAGTATCCTGCTTAAACTGATTACACTACACACCCCATGCAGATGGCTATGTTAATGCTGCACTGAATTGAAACAGTTTAAACTGGTGTTAACAAGTTTAAACAGTTTAAATTGGTGGTGGCTGGTGACAGGACATGGGGCAGTGGGCAAAAACTGGAACATGGCACGTTCCAGACAAACTTAAGGAAAAATTTCTTTACTGTGAGGGTGTTGGAGCCCTGGGACAGGCTGCCCAGAGAGGGTGTGGAGTCTCCATCTCTGGAGATGTTCAAAACCCGCCTGGACGCTTTCCTGTGTAACCTGGTGTAGAAACTGCTTTGGCAGGGGGGTTGGATTGGATGATCTCCCTTCCAACCCCCACCATTCTGGGATTCTGTAAAACAGCAGAAATGGTGTTTAAAGCGTGTCTTGAATAGCTTGGATGGGGCAAAGATATTCACAGGCGTTGTGTTGTCTATGACTGATTCCTCTTGAAAGCCCAGGTGAGGTCTCAGCTGTATTACTGGGTACTGCTCTTCTGCCAGGTTTACTCATCTCCATACAGCTACCTGCCAGGGACAGATGGCATTTCTGTCTCTGGTGTGGCAGCTTAGGCCAATTCATATACTGGGAGCACATAAAAGCAAAACCCATGGAAACTGAACTGAGACACCAAACAGTTTGTTAGCTTAATTTTGTTTTTTTCTGCTATTAAAGTTTCTATCAGTTCATACTGTGCTAATTTCTCCCCAAACAGCTTGCATTTTTTTTTTCTGTGTTTGTATAAAATGTCCACAGCACAACAGGGGAGAATTTGGGATTATTAAAGCCCAATTTTGTAGTTCTCGAGTTCCTAGACTCTTAAAGCATACTAGCAATTTTGTTGATGCTAATGATTAATGCTGAGCATGCGTGTGCATTTGTAGAAATGGGACCTCAAACAGCACAAAAGATAAGAGCACAGCAGTTTCATTATCGAGTTGTGTGAGGCAAAAATCTCAAATCTTATTTTTTGCTGTAGTATTTTTTAAAAAATTACACAGCCGTGCCTTGAGATGTATTGTCCTGCTACAGTCGACTAGCAACTAATGAACATCTTGGAAAAACTTGAAATCAGTTGTCCTGAGTACATGACAGAAGGATATGGATTCTCCAGCATTTCATTTCCTCTTCATGGAGATAGAGAAGCAAAGTGATTCTTGAATTATCTCCCTGCCCTGGTTTGAATTTAGAGAGGTTCTGCATAGGTAGAAATAAATGCAGAGGCAAAAGACTCTTAAAGCTATGAGGAAAAAGCTTTTTAAAAACAAAGGAAAAAATGCTCCAAAAAACCCTCCTTTCTAGAGCTTATTGAAATCATGACCTTCCCTGAGAGTCTGCTGGGTGTGGACTTTGCCAGTGCTGTGTTGGCTCTTTGTTCTTGGGTCTCATGCAGACTTCATGGGAGTTATCCCCAGCATCACCAAGAGCAGGCTTGGGCAGCGAAGGTGAATTTCTGATCCCACTGAAGCAAAACTGCCAGCCAGAATTTTTGCCTTTAGATCATAAGGAAGGTAGAAGCCTTGCTCTTCTGTTTTGCAAGGTGCTGGGTTATGTTTATGAGGTCACACACATTCATGGAGAGTTAAACAATTACTGAATGTGACTGACAGGCCCATTTTCCCAGTACTGTCTGGCTTTCACCATGGACCAACGCTTTCGATGTTGCATTGCTGGAAAGGGACAAAGAGAAATCTTCTGGTTTTGGACTGAATTGTTGTTTTTGTTAGTGATTATTGAGTGTAACGTGGTGGAACACTTAGTTGTGAAGGTGTCACTAAATTATTTATTGGGCAAGAGGAGTTATTTCCAGAGAGTATGTGTATTTTCTATCCTCTTTCATTGCACCTGCCTCCTTTGGATTTCTGTCTTTAGCCAGCTTCAGTCTCCATGAAATACCAGCCTCCATGAAACACCAGCAGAGGCTTCCCCTGCCTTTTATTTTGGGTTAATTTCCATGTGTTTGTTTCACTCAACCTGTCTGTTGCTGTTTTGGGAACTTGAATCTATTCAGGGTGAGGAGCTCATTGATTTAGGGCCTGATGGGGGTATGGTGTTATGAATCAACAGCCTTAAGCTGTTTTTAGGAGATGTGGATGATTCTAACTTTCATTCTTCTTCTGCTTTGTAGGTATTTGTATAAAATGTGGAAAAGGTGTGTATGGAGCGAGCCAGGCTTGCCAAGCAATGGGTAACCTCTATCATACCAACTGCTTCACGTGCTGCTCTTGTGGTAAGTCAGATCTACCGTAGCTTGTTAAGTGGCTTCCTTTTGTAATGTATATTCCTTTAGCAACCAGCATACAAAGTGAGACCTCATCTTACCTGATTCCTGAGGCAAAATTCCCACGAAAGACTCCAGCTTGAATAGTTGTTTTTTCATTTGCCATCTGCAAGTGTTCAATAGTGTTTTCCTAAGCAACAGCCCAGAAGAGTAGTATTTGGTTGTTTTAAGCGCTGTTATAAGCACTATGTACTTTAAATCACTTGTGTTTATGGAACTGTAATGTGCATTTATCATTTTTACAGAAAAACGGTAAAATTCGTGCAGCCATAACCATATTTTTCCTCACTTTCTGTTTGCAAATGCAACTCTAGTCAAGCGTGTATATTTGTCATTTCTGTGTACATCCAATGCTCAAAAATTGTTCTCTTACATTTGACTGTGATAAGAACAAATAGAAACTGCATGTTGAAACACCTTAAGCTGTTAAAATATTTTATTTTTGTAGAGGAAAATTTGCAGATAAATCACTGTCTCCTCCTTGCTGTTCTCAGGACCTTTTTAGGTTTCTCTTTTAATCTGAATGCATCTGAAAGTGATGTATTCTGTATGTGATTTGGGGAAGTCATGGCTTTGCCAGGGGAAACAGGACTTGGAAAATTCAGGATAGCACTTTCAAAAGTGTTTGCCTTAAGTCAAGCATTGTGAACTCAATTTGGAAACTTCATCAGTGTCTTGTCGGTAACTGCTGAGAGCTCACGAATTCCCACCGAGTTCAAGGGAGTACAAGAGCTCAAGTTTCAGGAGTTGGGTAGTTTTTCTTGATATACCCACACTTTTATGTAGGTTCCTAATATATGAAAATATTTGCCTGAATGTTGAAGATCTTGTGATACATATACACAGCAAAAGATTTACTCTGAGCAGAACATGCCGAGCATAGATTTTTCATAAAAAGGATTAATTAAGGGTTAGAAAAAGAGTAAAGTGTTATTGGCATAGAACCAAATAAGTTGATAATGAAAAGACCATTGTAAAGTTCACTTGTGAAAGAAGTGTTGTCTTTTATCCTAAGATTTGAACAGATAAATATTGGTTTAAAGAAACCTACAACCTGATTGTAGAATTTGGTGACCTTTATAAACGACTCTGGATCATTACCAGGTTCTAGAATAAACTCATCTCAAACCTTCAGGGATCACTCTCATCTTTGCTCAAGTCTGACAGTGAATGAGTAGCTTTTTGTTGTTTCCCAAAGTGAACAGCATCCTGCTTAGCAGAGGATTACAAAACATGATATCGGATAATATCTATCCACTCATTGCCAACATTAACCTAACCTAATTGCATGGGTGAATTCCAGCTTCTTCTCTGGGGCAGACGTGGGTTTTTTTTAAGTAGTCAGGATACATGTTTGCTACCACAGGGGTCTGTACACAGGTCACTCTGTTCTTTAAAAGAATGTATAAGGGCTGAGGAATGTACATTAACAGCAAAATACAAACCCAACTTAATTATTCAAAAGCACAACAAGCTTTTCTGACTGTTCTGGTGAGGTGTGTGTGGCCAGTGTACATCTATCATAGGGCGACTTGAGACATGTCCATTCGGAGCGTAGTTCTGCCCCACCCCACAGTGCCAGTGGAATTTAGTGATTCACACAGCTTTCCATGAGTCATGCATACGCATGAGGAAACAGGTTGTCTTCTGAGCTTCTCGCTGTGCTGCTCGTGGGCTGGAGGGCCCAGCTATCATCTGCCGGATGTTTGACAAGTAAGAAGGGCTTGGATTTCCTGCTGTCTGCAGCCTCTGATACAATCCTATCGAAAGGGGAATGCGTGGGGACTTTCTTACATTAGATGCTGGAAAGGTGGATGTGCTGCTAATGTGGCAGTAGTGCCTGAGTGCAGGTGAAAAAACTTGATCAAAGCTTAGGTTCAGCTATGTGCAGCTGTGAGTCAGAAGCAGAGCTTTGTCTCTCAACTCAGCTCTGAAATAGTATCAATATCTGGAAAGAGGGTGTTGCATTAACTGTTTGGTTTCCCACTTTATTTGGGGCTGTGAGGTCCTTGGGAAAACCAGAGTAATTCAGGACAATTCCAGTGGATCCAGACCTCAGGAACTGCATCCTGGAGTGTGCTGCTGAAAAGGCTTTACAGGACCTCTTGTACAGGCAACCAAATGGAAACTTCTCACAGTACTGCAGTTTATGAACAGGGAGTTCATTTTACCCTCAATGTGACATTGGTGGGACCCAGGTGAGAATTCTGCGCTCTAGTTTTGGTGCCCACCTTTAAAGAGATGAGGAAAAACTGGAGAAGGTCTGAAAGGAGTTACAGAGATGATTAAAGGCTTGGAGGAAAGCTAATTGTGAGAGCCCAGTGTATTTTGGGTATCAGAAATGATGGGAGGGACATGTGGCTGGAGCTTGTAAATACTTTTACCAGAAAACAGTGTTAGAAAGTAGTCTCATATGTACTAGAGACAAACACAAGAGAGGTCTTTCCTGGAGGCTGAAATTGCACAATTCAAATAGGAAATCAAAGACAGTTTTTGTACAATGAGGATGATTAACTGCTGGAATGGAACAGCAAGAGAAGTGGCAGATTCTCTATTCTTCTTTGTTTTCAAATTAAGACCAAATGTCCCTTTGGAAATTGTTTCAAGTTCAGGCAAGCTTTTAGATTCAAAGCATAGGTAACTGGGTGATCATTAATGACGTCTGTTAGGCAAGAGGTCACAGCATACAGACTAATGCTCCTTCTGAGCCTTTGACAGGAGAGTGAAGTACATTGGTAGCTCCTATGTGTACTTGGGAATATGAGATAGAGTAGGAGTGCAAGCTTGCCTTTCTTTTTCCCCTCTTATTTTCCCAAATAACAAGAGTGATCTAAACTTTCCTCCCGCAGTTATCAGTCTTACTTTCAATACAATGCATCTAGAAGTAGAAGGCAGTAATGAAGAAGAAAAGTTCTGTACCTGAAGACATCTGACTTAGATAAGGGCCCAATATTTAACCAGCTACAATTTTAAAAAATAAATAATAAAAAACTCAAACCCTTGGGAAAAGTTGTGGTTTGGAGACCACTCAGGCTGAAATGTGGTAATGAGTGATGGAGCCTCCAAGGGCCTCGTTTCAGCACTCGACAGTGAGTATTTTCAGCTTAGCAAAGACAAGTGCGTTTACACAGAGAAGTAGGAAGAGACCTTCAGTAGGAAATTCTGCCCGAGTTAGAGTCCTTTCTTGGGCACTTCTGTGAGTTTACCTTTGGTTTCAGTGCCAAGTGCCATCTGTCAGGGTGCCCTGGTTGAAAAGGGCAGCACTTGGCAGAATGGGCCATTCCTGCGCCTCCCAGGACCATACAGCACTGGCCCACTGACACAGTGCTGTCATTTTTGACTCCCACCATCGTATATCACACCATATGTAAGTAAGAGGAAAACCTAAAATATGCTCACAGATGCAGGCACCTCTGTGAGGCCTCCAGCCTTGCTAGTATAGAAGTGTGAGGATGCAAGGATGGATTTTCAGGGCTCTTGAGAACATGAACACAGAAAGATGAGGAAATATTTCAGAGATACAGTAAATAAATAGGAGACTTTTCTCCCCTTTAGACATTTTGGTAAAATACTCATATGGTAAATCTCTTCATTGTCTTTCTAGGTTCTGGCAGCTTTGGCATAAAACTCAGTAATATATTGATTCAGAGTGTACGGGATCTCCTCAAAAAAAGGAAATCTTGTCAGTGAGCTGAGGTCAGAAGAAGAATAGAAAGGAAAAGTAAATGACCTACCTAGCAGGCACATTTTATGTTTTAAAATAAAATGCTGCACTTCTGCCTCTTTAATGTGTTTAGTGGGCTTTGGATAATTGAGCCTTGCTCCCACAACTCAGCAAGTTCAGCATCTCAGAACTTTGCTCTGTCAGTTAATTTTTGTGATGTCTGTGTAAACCCCTGTTGTGTTCTGCAACCAGCCATGCTCCTCGGATAGCTTTTTTTCAAGAGGTCAGATAATTCTCTTCAGGTAATGTAAAAGCCAAAGTGATCTGATTTCCTTGGGGTCAAATAGTTCAATGTGGGTCTTTATCCACAATCCTTACAGAAAACAGCTGAAGCTTGTTCAGATGGATTTCAAATGTGCATTAAAATCCTCTCTCAGCCCTAACACCAGTGGAACCTCTTTTAGGCCTTGATTCGGCAAAACACTTAGACATGTGCTTAAATATGTTCTATTACTCATGTGTAAGCATACTTTGCTGAATCTTACACAACAGAGATTAATTCAGGCAACAACATACACTGTCCCTTCTGTTAAGTGTAAAATTTGGTTTTGGCAGGAGTTCAGTTGCAGATTTTGCTTACGGAAGACAAGAGCTGAAAAATGTCTGCCTGAAAAGCTCATCATCTAATCCCTCTTGGTTGTATTTCAGAGCAGGACAGAATTTCTTGAAGAAGAATTGCAATAATGCCAGATCGCTTGTGCGCTGTAAGTGCATGTGATCAGTTGCAGGAATTAATGAGCTCTATTTGATACTCATTACAGAAGATAACTTATCGGGTGCTTCCAGTTTGCAGATTATAATGTCATCCACAGCATCTTTTCAGGCTGAAAATTTTAATCCAGTGGCAATGACTGTAGAAACTGCACTAAGATACAGTGAGGAGTATTGGTTTGTTGTTTGTTACTGTGAGGGTGTAAGAGATGGGCAGGGAATGAGCTTTGCAGAGCTAAGGGTTTGAAGTCTCTGTACTCTCAAAGCTGAGACATATTTCATCATAAAAAGCAGGGACGCGTTCTGCTCTCTTACACAAAAGCAAATGTTTGAGCATGCCATTCGTCTTTAATTTGCACTTTTGCCACTGGTTTTTAAGGCACAGGAAATCACTGCAAGATCAATCAGAAGCCTAAAGCAAACTGTATAATCCCAAAAGTATGCAGCTCATTTCTTACCTGGTAGCTATTGATCAGGCTGGAGCACTCACAGGGGTTTCGTACAGCAGTTTCAT